TCTTAAGGTCTGGTCACCATAGCTCTCCCACCACCAAAGCACCCCTGGTCCTCCCACCACAATTATGTTGCTCCACCCTCCCGACCCAGAAATTTTTAAAGTGGCTATTAAACACAGGTAAAGCTTTCTAGAAAAGAGTTCTGTTAAATCTCAAATTGTTTCCTATTTAACAAAGATTGCAAGTTGATAGTAGTCAAATTTGGCCCTTAATCTGCATATGTGGACTCTACTCCAAATTTAGAGAATTTGAGACAGACTCTCTTTCACTAACGGAAGTTCATGGGCTGACCCTGGAGCAGGTCTTTTAAACATGTAACTTTAATTTTGTGGAGCAGAAAGTCTTGTATGCTTGAGTGCACCAATGTGTACATATGTATCTGAGATCACAGCTGTGTTTTAAGAGAAGAATATAGTACAAAACTGGAATTGTACAAGTTGTTGTAAAATTATCATTACTTGCTTTATCATTGTTAATATTAATCAAGATGTTAAAATATTTGGTAGTTAGCTTACAAGATAACTTCCCCCAACCCCCAACCCTTGGATCTCGCCTCTGGAGATGCAGTTTTCTCCAGTCTTTTAAATCAAGGCTGAAGGTGTGTGACTTTTTAGGCTAGATCATAAAGGTACAGATGGCAAGTTTTCTGCCTCATTCTCTGGAATGTGCTTGCTCTGAGGGAAGACAGTCACCATCTCACCCCTCCTGGTGCAGCCTTTTGAAGGAACCTGTGTGGAGAACAACAAAACTTCTACCAACAGCCATCAACTTGCTTGCAAATGAGCTTCCCTTGGTTAGGATGATCCTGCAACCCAAACAAGAATTTGATGACTGCATCCCTGTCCAATATCTGCTCAGGAGAGAGAGATTTCAGGAGATCTGTTCAAGAACCTGGTATGGGGGTAGGGAGAACTAAATTATTTTCTGTTTATCTCATATTTTGTTTGAAATTTTGCAGATATTTCAACAGCAGTTCTTGTCCCAAGATTGCCAACCCATGTCAATCTTCCAACAAACCTGTCCTTTCAAAAGCAGCAGTAGCAGCAACTCTGCCCATCCGTATCTGTGTAGGTGACTTCCCCTGCCCCTTTCTCTTTTTCATAAGAAACGGTCCTGTCCTGAATGAGAAAATTTTTTCAGCAACTGAATTTGTAGTCTCAAGTTAAGGAACATTTTTATGTTTTTTAACTATTAATATTTAGAAGTATTGGTTTTCTTAAAAAATAATTTCGTTCAGTCCAAGCAATATCTGAAATTGAAGTTTTGTCTCAAACTAAAGGTTTTGCACTGAAACAGCTTATAAACTGTTGAAATACTGGAAAATACTTTTAAAGTTCAGAAAATTCATGTTTTTGTTTTAGCAATTTATATTAAATTGTAGTAAAGAATTCTACTTTTCATCATACTGCTTCAAATACTTTTTTTTTTTTTTAAAGATTTATTTATTTGTGTATACAGAACTGGGATACAGGC